GTGGGAGGGACAATGGAAAGAACTAAAACTAAACTTCTAACAAAATGCTGTTTGGAAAATAAAATCAATAGAACTTACTCACTGACTCGATGTGGTGGAGTTACTACGTATAGAACACTGTCTATAACACATTAAGAGAAAACATGGAATTTACAGAAGAGTTACATGTTTTGTATTTAAAAATATTTTTAAGTTTTATGTTTTAAATACATACATATAAATGCATATAAAAAGTCTGGAAAAATAATATAGATAGTTAACAATTGTTATCTCTCTTGTCCTTATTTACAAAGGACACTCGCCTTCCATGTCATACACTTCTGCATAATAAAAACTTCAAAAGACAAGTTATGTATTACTTTTTAAAATTGTAATCAACAAAGCTTTCAACATTTTAAAGAATCCCTAACAAATGTCTCCTTGTAAAATCCATGGTTTCGAGTTCTTGAAAGATGCCCTCCAAAGTAAGGTTGCTTACTATCCAGTCTCAGACTTCCAACCCCCTAAGTCACAGTTGCTATTTTTAAAAATCTTTTACAATGTTATTACTTACACATAAAAATGCTATCTATTTTACCTGTACAGTTTGATGGATTTTAGTCATCCTATATGACTGTGTGACTACAACCACAAGAAAGATAGGTAACAGTTCCCTCTCCCTAGAAAACTTTCCTCATTTCTCTTTGCAGTTGATTCTCTCCCCATTTCGGGCCCCAGCCATCACTGCCCTACTTTCTATCACAATAGCTTTGCCTTTTCTAGAATGTCACCTAAATGAAACACGTTGCAGACAGTTTTTGTGCTTGATTTTTTTCACTTAGCATAATGAGATTTATCCATGTTGTTTTGTATATTGATATTGTGTTACATTTTATTACCTGGTACTATTCCATTGTATGGACATAACACAATTTATCTATTCAACAGTTGATGAATATTTGGACTACTTCCTGTTTTTTGCTATATGAATAATATTGCAATAAATGTTTGCATGCAGGTCACTGTGTGGACATGTTCTCATTTCTCTCGGGTAAATGCCTAGGAGAACTGCTGGGTCATACTGTACAATTTCATAAGATCCTGCCACACTGTTTTACAACAGAACTGTACCATTTTGCATTCCTACCATCAATGTATGAATGTTCCACTTATAGACATCACTGATGCTATTTCATATAGGCCCATGTAAGTTTCCCAAGACTATCTTACGATTTTAAAAAACAAATTAAGTCATCTATTACAATCTATATGTGAGTACTTTTCTTGGCCTCCGGAGGAGACAAATTTAATCCAGGGCCAGAAACAAGGCTGGATCGCTCAGAGCTTTTGTGTAATAAAGTCTTATTAAAGCATAAAGGAGATAGAGAAAGCTTCTGACATAGGCATCAGAAGGCGGCAGAAAGAGTACCCGCCTGCTAGTCTTCAGCTGGGTGTTATACAGTCACTAGCAGTCTGTTATTGAAAAGAAAGGAATGTCTTAAAACTCAGAATGGCACCAGATAGTTCATCCCAGGCCATAAAATGATTGACTTGAATCTTGTAGAAGGGCAGATTACCTAAATCCTGTAAAAATACATAGCTTTCCGACATATCAGCATTAGCTTTAAATAAGATAAACCAATTCAAATTTTAAAGATGTCCCTGCCCCCCCCCCCTTTCCTCAGGTTCTTACCTGAGCTCCTCAATTTTCTCTGAAGTGATAGGTCCCTTCCCCAAAACTTGGTCAATCTCTTCATATAGTTTTTTCTGAATTTCCTCATAGGTGGTTAAAAAACAGACTGCCCAGGTGCACACTAAGTGAAAATTTATAATAATAACAATGAAAGCAGCGAATTCATAGCTTGGGCGCTGAATAAAAAACAAACTTAACTGTTTTTCAGTATTTTCTTTCTTTTTTCCCCTGATACAGAAGATACATAAATGCTACCAGAAGATAAAACAAGACTGTTCATGAGATTTGTGTTTCATTCAACAGAACATAAACATTCACAGAATATTCTCAAATAGAGACAGCGAAATCTAGAAAATTTCTTTTTTTTTTAAATGTATTGTTGTATTTTTATTTTTGTGCCAGGTCTTCCTTGGAGTTTGCAGGTTTTCTCCAGCTGCTGCAAGTGGAGTCTACTCTCAAGTTGCAGCTGGAGGGCTTCTCATTGTAGCGGCATCTCTTGTCTAGCGTGGACTCTCGGGCACTCCGGCTTATTAGTTGTGGGCCCTGGGCATGCAGGATCTTCCCAGACAGGGGACTGAACCTGTGTCCTCTGCATTACAAGGCAGATTCTTAACCACTGGACCATCAGGGAAGCCCCTAGAAAATTTCTTTCATAAAATTGGCAAGTAGTCAAAGGCACTTGATGTGTTTTACCTTAAGCAAAACAGTAATGATAATAAACTTCACATCTGGGGAAGTGTTAAATGCTGGTAACTGTGATGGACTGTTTGGTTCACTCAACCATGTAAAATAAAATAATTGATTTGTCAGTTTCCTCAGGAGCCCTAATGAAATGATTCACACAAATCAAAATAGCAGGAGATTTACCTAGAAATCAGTGTTCTTAAGTTTTTACTTGTAACACTGGTTCAAGAACTGAAACTGATTAGTTGCTTAGGACAGTGGGTCTCAAAAATCTCCTGGGAGTCAAGAGACTGTGTGATGACACAATCCCACCATCCACAGATTCTGACTTAGTAGGTTTAGGGTGTGTCCAAGGTATCTATATTTCTAACAAATGTCACAATTATTCTGATGAACAACAACACTGGAGTTCACTGGCTTATGGCTTACTTTTTCTTAAAATGGCTTACGGATTATAATCAAGGAAATCAAAAGGTAAGAAAATCAATTACATAATAAATATAAAACAGTTATATTTCCCTTAGAGATCCACTGGGATTATAACTGTTCAAATGGAACCATCCAGACATACAGCATCTCTTTCCTTAGGTTAAGCTTGACATGACTCTATCTACAGCTCTATTTTTTCTGTGTCAAGTACTTTTCAACTGTGTTTAAAATTTTCTATTTCTACTTATTATCTCTTTCCTGAGATAAAGGGCTAGCCCAAATTGGCCTTAAAGTTAATTTTTTTAAATATTTGCTTAAGTCACATATTATCCAAATCCAATGTAAATACATTAATTCACTTTCTGCACTTAATATTACTATCTGTAAAATCAATAGCTACCTGGTACTCAATTATTTTGATAATTTACTCACATCCAGAGTTCATAAAAGGCATGTGAGTTAACTCACTTTAACTTTTTTCCTATATATGTTTCTTTATTATGGCTTGTGAGTGAACTGCAGAACTTCTACTTCACAAGTGATGTGAAAACTTATGCAGATAGTATATATGTACATGTACGCAATCTTACAATAATATGTAGTAATACATAACACTGAAAGCTTCAGCACAAGGATTTGGATACAGTAGGCACTCCACACTCTGACTGACTACATTATTATTTAAAATTAATATAACTGTTTAATAACCTCAAACACTGTTTTTTTTGTACAACTCTATTAAAAAGTATGACTAGCTTTAAAATGTGATTTTAAGCCACTTAATGTTCTTCAATTACAATGTTGAATCAAGACACCAATTTATAGTTGGAAACCTTGGAGGTCATCCTTATTTTAGAAGAGGAAAAAATTGTAGAGGTCAGAATCCTGCTTCAGGCTACTAAGTTGCAGAGGAGGGACTTTAATTAAGGTTTCCTGCTGATCTTGCCTCTCAAAATTTCAGAGGTGCTTTAAAAAACAATCAACCCACATGCAAAGAAACAGCAATACTCAAATTTCCGCCCAAAACTACAAAAAATATTAAAATATTAAGTCAACCTTGGAAATGATCAATTTTTGTAATATCCAGAGTACAACTGATTCAGATTTTTTAGACATTTATTTATTATTATTTAATTATTTGGCTTCACTGAGTCTTAGCTGCAGCATGTGGGATCTAGTTCCTCGAACAGGGATCAAACCCAGGCCCCTTATATTGCGAGCACGAAGTCCAGCCACTGGACCACCAGGGAAGTCCCTGATTCAGACTTTTTGAAGGTCTTCAGCAAAGATATATTTTAACAGTAACACATTTTTTAAGCAACTTTTTTTTTAAAGGTTCAAGACATTATTTTTGACACATGCTTACCTATATTCCACTTAATCTATACAATCTGGACATCTCTAGATACCAAAAAATCATACAAAGAAGAAAAACTTACAGGAATTTCACATTTGTACTTAGATTTTTAAATTTTCTTAAAACAGAAAAAGTTGTGNCTGGCAGGCTATGGTCCATAGTGTTGCAAAGAGTTGGACACAACTGACACAACTTAGCACGCATGCATGCATGCTGGGAAGAACAGGATAAATCAGGCTGCTGCATGTTCTACATTGAAGCCAAATCCAAATTCTGATTCTCCTTCTGTTGAATCAAATGGGGCTCGGTTATTTTCTGCTAGAGTTGAAATAATTCGCGCCTCGGGGTCAGGATAGGAAAATTAGTCATATGTGTTGTATGATAATTAGTGTTGAAAGTGTAAATGATCTGTTTATCAATAGGACTGATGAGAATAATTGCTAGTATTACTTCATATGAGACTGTCTGTGCTATTGCTTGTGGGGCTCCAATTAGTGTGTATTTTGAGTTTGAAGTCCGTCTGAATCAGAGGATACAGCTAATATAAATAGTACATGAAGGCTTCTGTTACTCATTGGGTAGGGTATGGGAAGAGGAACTCATATTGTGAGAGCTAGGGTTAAGGCCAGAATTGATGCAAAGATAAATATAGAAATTGATAGCGTTGGTGGTCATAGTGGATCTTTAATAATCTGACTGCATCAGCAAGATTATAATAATCCATAGGGGTTGACAATGTTTGACCCTTTCTTCAGAGTTACCTAGAACTTTTGGTCCAATTGGACTTCCCTGGTGGCTGATATGGTAAAGAATCTGCCTGCAACGAGGGAGACCTGGGTTCAATCCCTGGGTTGAGAAAATCCCCTGGAGGAGAGCATGGCAACCCACTCCAGTATTCTTGCCTGGAGAGTCCCCATGGACAGAGGAGCCTGGCGGGCTTCAGTCCATAGGGGTCGCTAAGAGTGGGACACAGCTGAGCAACTAAGCACATTTGGTCCAATTAATATGAAGAACAATACAGCTAGTAGGATTGGGGTAATGAGTGAAAGAATGTGTAGGGGGAGGAGCACTGTGTGAATCTAGCCTTCAAACAAGAATAAAAAATAAGAGCTAAGGGAAATTACAAAGAGATCTTGCAAACACTATTTCCTTTATTTTAGAATAGCTTTATCTTTCTGTATTTTATAATCTATCTCAAAAAGAAATCAATTTATACTTACATTTTGCAGTTATTATGCAACTGGCCAGAGAAAATATCATAGTGTCTTCTAGGATCTAGGAAACAAAACCAAGTTTAGGAAGTGTGACATGTAAGGTGTATTAGACCCTGTATTAGACCTGTATTAGACCCTGTATTAGACCTAGTAAAATCATCTAGAGTATAGCACTGGGAGTTAAGGAAAGGAGAAAAGTGTATTATTCCTTTATGACTTTTTCACGGGAATAAAATCTGTACAATGTAAAAGCCAAGCTAAACACTGCACTGCATTTGTGATGCAGTGACCATTTACCCAGTAACATTACTGGCTCATGATACTGCAAATACACTGGCTCAGGCCCATCTTTCCAGCTTGGCTGAGTGCCGCAATGAAGACTGAGGAAGAGTGAGGAGCCTGCCGCTGGTCTGGGGCGAGATTTCATTTCTGTACCCACACACACCCGAAACACCACTTTTTGTCTCTGAGGACTTACATCCACAGAGGAGGCAGGTTCCTACAGTGAGCAGGCGTGCAGTGACGGCTCGGCCGCCCACACACAGTGACCCGTGGTGTGCTGGGATAACAGATCCACACTGCCAACAAGCCACGCTGCCACATCTGGTCATGTGGGCAGAGCAGTTAGTTAGAGGCTTACCCAGGTCCTCCTCTCTAACAATCAGAGAACTTTGGCTCACTATCTGCTTACTCAAATATTAGATACTATATAGCTGCTTCCAAGAGCTAAATCACAGGACAGCAAATCTAAATACTATTTATGGATGATGTACAATAAAAAAGGAAAAAGCCGTTGAATTCTACGAAGACATCTGGGTTAAAGTGAATAAAAAGCACACTCTGTACATGTCTGATTATCCTTTGTGTGATAAACATTTAAGAATTACATCACCTGTTGGTCATTAAGGTTCCCCTGTACTAAGGAGTCAATGAAAATATGCTGACTGAAGTTCCTTCCTTTTCGTTCTGTAATGATTTTCTTTAAAGTAGATTCCAGTTGCATAAGGGCTTAGAGAAGAAAAACAAAAAAGATTTTCATTTGTGAGGATTGAACAATTTTTTGTAGTTCTACAATGTTCCTATGTGCAGAATAAAACTTTCAGTTAAGAGAATAATAACCTAATTTTTAAAGCTAACTTAAATTCTATTATTTCTCCTTTTTGCTAACTTTTAACACATGTACCAAAATGCATACAACATATATGCACAATTTAACATTTAACTAAATCAAACACCCAGGTCAAGAAGTAGAATGATTCTAGTCCCTTAGAGACTTTTACACATATACCTCTCTGTTGGTATTATTAACCTTCCTTTGAAATTCTGTCCTCTTAATTCCATTCTTCTCCCAAATCAAGCATCACTCATTTAGAGACTCCAACAAATGTGAAACAGTCAGAAAAGTAAATTTCTAAAACCTAGAAGATTAATCCAACTTCCAAGAAAATGATCCAGAGATCATTTCTCAGGCCCCACCTTACCTGACCTATCACAACACCTGATGGAAACACTTTCTCACTTGGCTCCCAGGGTCCCACTCGCCTGGGCTTCACACTTTGCTCCCACTTTACTGCCTGCTCATTCTAAGGATCCACTGTCAGTTCCTTCTCATCTCTCCAATTTATTAATGATGGAATGCCCAAGGTCAAGGACTACTTTTCTTAGATCTTTATTTATATTCATTACCTTGGTGATAACCATTCTCATGCTTTAAATACAATCTACGGATGGAAAACTCCCAAAGTTGTATTTCCAGTTAGGACCTCTTTCCCCTGAATTCCAAACAATCAACTCAGCATCTCTACTCAGATACCTGAAGTATACTAAACATAACATATCCAAAACTGAAGCCATGATCTTCCCCTCAAAACTGGATCTTTCCATAGTATCTGTCCCATCTGATTTCCTGACAATTTCATTTTCTAATTACTCAGGTCTAAAACCTTGGTATTTCCTTCTCTCATACCTCACATCTAATCTGGCCATCAATGTTGGCAGTTCTAATTTTCAAAATACAGAATTATTCTCATTCTTTTTTTAAAAAAATATTCTATTTTCTGCTACCTTCCACCGAGTCCAAGCCACATTAATTTTCTTGCCCGGTTCACTGCAGTAGCCTCCTAATTAAGTCTCCCTGCTTCTGTTCTAAGCCCAGAGATGGCAGCAACCCAGTCACACCAAAGCCAGACAAAATCTGTTCCACTCCTATCAGTCTTTTTGGTCTTCTATTCTCCTAACTCATTTCACTCCAGCCACAGAGTTCCCTGTTGTACTTCAAATATATCAGAAAGAATCTTACCTCAAGGACTTTGCAACTACTTTTCCTCTACATGGAATATTCTTTCTTCCCCTGGTCATGTGGATGTATTTATAAAATATATAATTTTTTTGACTCAATATTATAATAGCAAGAGGTTTTTTTTATTTTGTTACATTTCTTATATAACATTGTTATGTTGATATTATTTCCTTAGCAATTCCTATATTGTTGGATATTTAGATTTTCTTCTGTTTTTCTACTTGTAGAAATATCACTACAAAGATTTTCATGAGTATTTTATTTTAGATAATTTCACTCATTATTTATAATTCTTACTTAACATGCATTTTTAAATTGCTTTCCCAGGACTGTACCTTTGTACTTTCCATTAATCATGTAGGCTGTACCAGCACTATAGTACTCCCATTCTGAGTAAGTGCTAGAGTTTAACTAATTGACAGCCTTTCCCTCTCTTTTATTTAAGAAAAACTTTCATAATAGGAAATGTAGAAAAAAACATAAAAGGAAGAAAAAAAACATGACCTATAACTTCATGAATCAGACATAACCCTATTAAAACTGGGCACATTTCCTTTGGTCCTTACTAAAAATTAAGAGTGAAAAAACTTACCATCTTCATATTGTTTTTTCCGAGTTGTACTTTTATCAAGTGATCCATCCAGAAAGCCTTTTCCAATCTCAGACCAAACCTGAAAATAGGAAAGTATACCTATTATTTAGTACACAAATTTTCCAAATAATACCAAGCAATCTAAGCTAATAACTGAAGAACCTGTTTCACCAACAGAACTGTTAAACTCTCCCTTTCATATGGAAATCATTTACTTCATTGTCTTTGAAGATAAGGCACAAAATATATCTTACTAATTTCATTCAAAGTACTTTCAAACTAATTGTAACTAAAAAGTCAAAGTTTCCTTATTTTCAAAGGAATATGAATGAAAAGGAAGCGGAAATAGCAGTAAAGTCAGTTCTCAATTTTTTATTACAATGGCACTAGTGGATAAGTAAAATTCACTGTAAAGCGGTAAAGTGGAAGTCGCTCAGTCGTGTCCAACTCTTTGCAACCAGATGGACTGTATGTAGCCTGCCAGGCTCTTCTGTCCATTGGATTCTCCAGGCTAGAACACTGGACTGGGCTGTCATTCCTTTCTCCAGGGGATCTTCCCGACCCAGTCATCGAACCTGGGTCTCCTGCATTGCAAGCAGATTCTTTACCATCTGAGACAAATTCCAAATTTTTACTTCACCATGATAGCTGGAAGGGATTCCCTAGTGGCTCAGTCGGTAAGGAGTCTGCCTGCAGTGTGGGAGACCTAGGTTGGATCCCTGGGTCGGCAAGATCCCCTGGAGAAGGAAATGGCCATCCACCCCAGTATTCCTGCCTAGACAATCCCATGGATGGAGGAGCCTGGCGGGCTACAGCCAGCGGGTTGCAAACAGTCGGATACAACTGAGCGACTTCACTCAACTTTCTCTTCCCTGTTGTTCTGCACCTCGAAGATAAAAAGATGGAAACTGGTAAGCATTGGCTAAGATTTCAAAAAATGTTAAAAATTAGTCTAAAGTTTAGAGAGAGTAAACAATAGGATTTCAAAACTAGATACTTAGTCCTAAAAAATTTTCTTTATAATTCAGAAATTTTGAAAGAACTTGTGGAAAAAAGAAAATAAATATTTTAAAAATATTCATAGTTATGAGTCCTCAAGTCTTACCTTACAAAGATATGTCTTTCAGACTATTTAAACGTAAAAAATTAAACTATTAAATGTACTGTAAAAATGTGCAGCAAATGTTTATATTAGGAAAACCCTTTACGTGAGAAAAAAGTGCCTAAGCACAACAAAGAGCACAGGGCAAAAATGTATGATAAAAAAGTTGAGTTAATTTAGCTATTCCACCCCAACAAAAAAAGCTGAAAAGACTGAAAAATCAACAGCTCTTCTTGGATCCCTGAGATATAATAGGGCCCCAGGCAAACTGAGGCCCCCAAGACTGGAGAGAGAGGTGAAAATGGGGGGCACATCTTACTGGAGCAGACTTACAGGTGGAAATTACCTCAGGAACCAGTGCGAGGGTAGGAGAACCTGAACTGAAATTGACCAATGGCTGGAGATTCACTATACACAACTCTGACAGTCAAAAACAGAGGCTTATGGTAAACCTAAAACTGCTTTTTTTTAAAAAAAAGGTCTTTTAAAAACACACTATAAATAAAAGTAAAAGCAAATGAAAATTGAGATAAAAAATAAAAAGCTCTTACAGATCGGTAAGAAAAAGACAGACACTGAAATCCGGGCAGAGGACACGAGAGCATTCCCACAAAAAGAAACGCAAGCTGCTCAGCAGAGTGTTAAACAATGTTAACCCACACAGACAAGAGCAGAGCTACAGACGTCAATCGTGAAAGATCAGGTTTTACTTACTAAATGGGTAAAGACGAATTTAAAAGACGAGTAACTATATGTCAAAAACACAAGGAAAGAGCACAATAACGTTGGTGGGAAAATAACTAGGATCATGTTTTTGGAGGGCAATTCAGAAACGCAGTATGCAACTGGGTGTGAGATGTACATTTTTTCACAGTTAACACCTGTGAAACAGAAACGCATCTTAGAGCCGATGACATCTCCCAAGTATGGTCAGCCAAGCAGCAGGCATAGTGTAGCTAACGCTGCCTCTGCATTCTCAACCCCGGTGGTGGCTCGACTGGAGTTTCAGACATTAAGGACATTAAAGATCACTTAAGGCAGGATTTTAGATCATGATTATGGTCTGAAAACTTTCCTTTGACAACTTTCAGTAACATTAAAAAAAAATACCAGATTCTTGCCAAAAATAGAGAATTTGCACCTAGTCACACACTAAAATATGTAATTTGAATCTAGTCAAACCCAAATGAGCGACATCCTACAAAATAATTGGCCTTTACTTAATAAAAGAAAAAAGTCAACATCAAGAAACAAACAAACAAACAAGCTGGAAAACCATTTCATTTGAAAGAGGTTTGACCACTAAAAGTAAAGAAATCTGAATATGGGCTCTGGATAAAAATATGGTATGGAAGCCAATTTCCCAAATCTGACAACTATTTTGTTGCCATGTGAGAGAATATTCTTGTTTTTGCGATATACAAATTGAGGTATTTAGGGGGAAAGAAGTAAAGTGTCTACTCTCAAATGTTTTGGGTAAGGAGGAGAGGAATGGATGGAAGGATGGATGGACAGACAGACAGATACTGAATGAAAAAAGTAAATGTGGCAAGACGTAAACAACAGCTGAAAGGTATCATGGGAGTTCCCAGTACTAGTTGCCACTTTTCTATACATTTGAAATTATCACTTCTACTTTGAAATTCTAAGGAAAGAAAGGTAAAGAAAATGTCAGCTTAAAAATACCGACAATAGGGACGTCCCTGGTAGTCCAGAGGCTAAGACTCTGAACTCCCAATGGAGGGCACGAGTTCAATGCCTGGTTGGGGAACTAAGATTCCACATGCTGCACATGCAATAAATATATAAAACATTTTTTTAAATACCTAGAATAGGAACAGGTATCAGAAGCTTGGAATAAAATCCTATAAATAATAGTGGAATTCCTTTTTTAAAAATGCTGTCTCAAGAGAAGGAAACGGCAACCCACTTCAGTATTCTTGCCTGGAGAATCCCACGGATGGAGGAGCCTGGTGGGCTACAGTCCACGGGGTCGCAAGGAGTCGGACACGACTGAGCGACTTCACTTTCACTTTCAACCCTCAGCTGAGAAGACTTTCAGCTCTTGTGTTTGCTATTGATTGTTTTCTTGAGTTCTCAAAGACCTGTGACCATACTTTTTTTAAGTTGCCTGTTTTCTAACTGCATCACTTTACACACTGTTGTCTAATAATATGTGGTATTTAGAATGCCTTCTTAATTATTTTGAGCAGCCATTGCCTGTATTTTCTTAGCACCTCCTTGGTTTTCTTACGTGAACTCATCTGACAGGGAAATGCAGCTTTTTTGTTTGCCCTCTCTGCATACTGGACCGTCTGAGTCAGTGTTCTAACTAATCCCTGATGGTCTCTGAGCTACTGTTCTACCAGACTCGGTAGTTATGTGCTTCAGGAATTTTTCGGTAGAATTGGTTCTATTAGGAGACTCTTGGTGTCACCTTTGTTATCTTAAAAGCTGGTCCCTTCGCTGAGGCTCTTAATTTTTTGAAAACTTGATTCTATTTCAGCTGAAAATTGGCAAGGCTATTTAAAAAATTGAGGGAAGCCATTTAAGAAATTGAAAAGTAATCGCAAACAACATTGGGTAGTTGTGACTTTCAGTTCTGTATCAGTTGAATTTTTGTGCTCTTTTCCCTGCTGCATCAGTTGAATTTTTGTGCTCTTTTCCCTGTGTACGTGGTGGTTCTATTTTTCTCCAACAAAACTTTTTATTTAAAAAAATAAAAATAAAAATGCTGTCTCATCAACATGAAAAAAAATCAGACACCAACAACTGAGTCAAAAATTGATTCTTCATTAAAATAGGAAAACATTTTAGGAATCCTTTAGCCAATTTATTTTACCTGGATACTCTGAGTAGTTTATTCTAGGAAGTGGAATTTAGGGTGATTTTTTTCCAGTTTTATTTTTACACTCCTGAACATGTGAACATTTTCTAAGAAATGGACATTTTTCAATCATCAAACACAAGTAATAAAACCATCTTAATGGGAAAAAGGATAATATTAAACAGTGACAGAGTATTAAGCCACAGTTCCTAGTGATTTTGTTTTACATGCATTGCAGTGATTATTTAACCTGTTTTTTATAGATGTGAAGAAAATAAGGCATAATTGATCAGAGATCCAAAACTGCAGTGAAGTAAATGACTTAAGTACGATTCAAAACAAATTAATATGATGTTGAGACTGGTAAAAATAGAGAATAATAAAGTCTATATGAGAGTCCAGAAAAGGCAAACAGTTAACTCAGTCTTCAATTGAATGATCCTCTTTTCAAATCGTATTCATTTCATTAGTACTTTAATGCTCCATCACCTTTAAATTCTTTCAGTAGAGGATATAGTCTAGTCTACCAAGCAGAGATTTTCTCTTTATCCTAGAAGTTAGCATGACTTTATAACATATTAAAGAATAAGTATACAAATGTGTGAAAGTCTTAGATAAGCTTCAGTGATGGAAACCTCTCAGGGTCTCTTTGTCATTCCTTCATCCACTGAATATTTATCAAATCCCTTGTGAACAAAACACAATGTATAAAGAGAGTGAAGTGAAGTCACTCAATCGTGTCAGACTCTTTGAGACCCCATGGACTGTAGCCCACCAGGCTCCTCCGTCCACGGGATTCTCCAGGCAAGAATACTGGAGTAGGTTGCCATTTCCTACTCCAGGGGATCTTCCCAACCCAGGGACTGAATCCAGGTCTCCCGCGGTGCAGGCAGACGCTTTAACCTCTGAGCCACCAGGGAAGCCCAACAATGTGTAATAAAAACATCAAAAGCTTTGGAGTAAAAAAATCCTGGGTTTACTTCTGGCTCTGTTACTTAGAAGCAATGCAACTTTAAGCAATTTGCTTGACTTTTCCAAGATGTAGGTGTCTCAAAAGTTAAAACAGGGATGACATCTCCCACTTTTCATGGTTGCTGCGATAGGGATAATTGTACTTACGTAATTGTACATCACAAAACACAGTAACTGGGTTGGTAAAGTAAAATATATGTAGACCCTTTCATGTTAGGAACTCAAATTTAAGCCACTTTGCCTATCAACTCCATGAAAGTTTTGTCATAGGGTAAAGGACTTCACTGATCCACACATATGCCACTATCATAAATTTTGAAAATTTATTGTATCTTTATATTTCCCATTACAATTCTGTTTCAAAAAGTTCCAGAAGAGGGACTGACTTCCAGAATGGTGGAATGAGACTTTGGTGATCTCATTCTGCCTCTAAAACAATGAAAATACGTGCAAAACCACTAAACAACTAACATTAACCATTTTAGCATTTTGGCAATTAACCAAATCTCAATATCCAATGTGAAGTGTTTATTCAACTGGACCTTGGTAAGATAGTGAGGTTTTTAACCTAACATGATTTGATTTCCTTTCTCTCCCCATCTCAGTGGTAGCCAAAAGTCAACAGCATTGCAGAAAACAGTTCTAGTAAAAGCACCATCACCACTGGTGACCAAAATGGTCACTGAAAATGGACAACTAGGGAACCCCAAGGCTCTATCCCTCCCCAAAATTAAGTAATGAGCTAGCTAAGCTGGCAGAATCAACTTCTGAAAAACTCTGGAATACAGTAAAAAAAAAACTATCAGGGGAAGGCTTGATGAAGAAAGCAGCAGCTCCTCTGAGGTAAGGAAGTACTGTGGCATTTTAAAACAACCTGGTTCTGATTCCCATATCCCAGAGAAGCAGCAGTTAAGAGAACAGCAGCACATACTCCTAACGCAAATTGCTAGAAAGCAACACAGTCATTTGGACAAAAAATCGTGGCCGTTGAGTCTTAACCTGAAAACTCCCGTTAAGGATCGTCCCTGTCTTGCCCACTCTGAGCATTCCTGCAGCTAAGACAGGTTCCTAGGTGACTTCTGCTGAAAACATTTAAAGGCGCAGGTACTGGCTGCAACAGCTGGTGAATGAAACAACAATTGGGACAAGCAATAAACAGACCAAGAAGACAGGGAAAGAAGAGATTGGGAGAAGAGACAACTATGAGCATGAGAGCTCAGATATCATGATAAACCTTTAGAGTTAATAAGGGAATTTGGCAAGGTTAATGACTATAAATAAGATCAATATGCAGAAGTCAATCACATATATAACAAATAAAAATGAAATTAAAAAATAAAAATTAAAAAAAAGAAATTTAAAAACTGTACCATTTATGATAGTATTTTTTAAAAATTACTAATTAAGAGTAAATTTAATAAAAGATATATAAGATCTCTTAAAAGTGAAAAAGTTATTGAGAAAAACTAAAGACCAAAACGTGGGAGGGTATTCTTCCATACTCATGGATTGGAAAATTCCATAACATTGTGGACAAGGAATGTTGCCTACTGTTTCAATAAAAAGGCATGTTGCCACCAGCAAGCCATCAGTCACCACAGCCCCTCCTCCCAGGTAAAGTATCTGTCTGGCAAAGCAGGAGACAGGGGTTCGATCCCCGATCCAGGAAGATCCTGTGTGCTGTGAAGTAGCAGAGCCCGTACACCACAACTATTGAGCCGGTGCTCTAGAGCCTGGGAGCTGCAGCTACCGAGCCCACGTGCCCTAGAGCCCATGTTTNACAAAAACAACATTGTTAAGCTCTGTTTCTAATGAAAGTTTAATGAATATTAAGACTATCATTGTTAGTCAAGTGGTTCACTGTTTTTTTTGGATAGTAACACAGGTTAGTGTAAAAGAAAATTATTATGTAGAAAATAATCACTAATAAAAAATAACAGAAATGAAAATACAGAAATTATTTAAATCACCCTACAACCCAGTAGTGATAATTACAGATAACATTTTTTATACAGCTTTTCATGTTTTTCTATAGTTTATCTATGTATATGTGCACATATATGTGTGTATAGAGGTATACTTTGAACAATGTAATAATTCTCTACAAACTGTTCTGAATATTGGTTTTTTCACTTATCATCTGTTATGGGTTGAACTGTGCCCCCCTCAAAAAAAAGATCCTGAAGTTCTAACCCCCCAGTGCCTGTGAATGTGACCTGATCTGGGAATAGGTTCTTTGCACATAATTTAAGATGTGCACATTAAGGCCTTAACACAATATGACTATGTCCTTATAAAAAGGGGAAATGTGGACACGGAAACACACACGCACACACACACAAACATAAACACACACAGGGAGACCTCATCATAAACAAGAAGGCAGAGACCGAGATGATAAATGTACGAAATGGTCAGCAAGCCACCAGCAACTAGGAGTGAGGCATGAAACAGGCTTTCCCTCGAGGGTCTCAGAAGGAACCAGCTCCGCTGCACCGGGGTCCTGGGCCAGCAGACAGCCTCCAGACTGCGAGGCAACCAATTACTGTCGTTTAAGCCGCCAAGTCTGCGGTGCTTCGTTACACTAGCCCTAGCAAACTAACATATCACCTTAAAGCCATCTCCCCAAGTCAGTAAATAAACGTCTTTGCCATCTTTCTTAACGTTTTCATTCTCAGCCACTGCAAGGATTTATGATTCAAATAATCCTCTACTACTGGACAGTTAAGTGTTTTCTAGTTTCTGCCTCAATAAACAATGCTTCGATAGTCATCTTTGCCATTTGGCTTCTTTTGACATGAAATTTCTGAGTTAAGAAGTAGTTTTTTCAGCTTTTACCACACTGCACTGGAGAAAGCATGTATCACCTTATACTCTTATCAGCAAAATGCCCATCTCCCACACCTTGGACAGTACCAAGTGCTGTCATTTTATAAAATCTCTGTCGGTCTAACAGGTAAAAAAATCCCAATATTGCTTTAATTGGTTTACTTCATGCTAATTACTGTTAGGCTCTGGATAAGTTTCAAATTTAATGGCCCCCTACATGTTTTCATAAAGTACTGCATGTTCACTTTTTTAGCCATGTTTCTATTGGGGCTTATATCTTTTTCTTAATAAAGAGCTTTGTGCCTAGATGGTTTTTAAATGAAGCCCAGGATATATCTTTCTTCAGTTCTAAGTGATGAGTACTCAACAGTTTCCTGGTGACCTTTCTTCTGTGAAATATTACACACTAAAAAAAGAAAACACCTGAAAACAGTACTCCCAAACACCAAATCTGGGATCCAAGTGGTATCCTAAAAACCTATTAGGACAACATGCAACTTATCAGAGAATTTAATTGTGAATATCTCCCCACAGTACCAGATCATTGCTGATTATGTAACAAACAGATTAAATGCTTTCAATCTATGCTGGTAAAGTCTTTTTTTTAACCCTCTTTTAAGCCATGGCCATAAAAATTTTATAATCAACACTATCACTTGTATCACAGAACTGTATTATGATCTGCTCATCCATTTGTTTTGCACAGTACTCTACAATACAATGCAAATATTAGATATGATTCAGGTACGTTTTTACTCTAGATACAAAGCTAGTGCATCTGCTAGAAGCTTATGTGCATCGCATTCAGTTTATGAATCTTGATAATGTACATTAGATGGGAATGCTAACAATCTGTTGACCTTCATCTGACAGTGTTAAATCAAAGAGTTCAATAATATCGACTATTAACATATGACTAGTGAACTATCAACTAAGAGGATTCTGGAAAACTGTCATAAATTCTAAGATCCAGAAATATTTGTTAAATCATAGTTTAATTCAAAAGTCATAGGAGCATATGGGGTTGAAGCACTGAAGACAGAAATTACACTCACAGAATTAGAGTGCAGGTTCACATACAGTCTTGGAGCAGAGACAATCAGGGCAGGAAGGAGCCAGAACTTACATGATGAGGTTTGGATTAGAGAAGAGTCAGAACACAGAACTCAGATCTGGATCAAAAATAAAAAAGGAAAAGGTTTGTTGTGTCAGTATGAAATTAACTTACTTTGGAGTGACAACTCTGGTAAACACCCCTGTTCTACAGAAAACCATTACTAGGGAGGACGAGGATGCTCAGACTACATCCTCTTCAATCATGTCCTTGCTGATTAAATATTAATTGGCATTTCTGACTAATGAATAAGCTAAGTAACTGGCTTGTGCTAAGGGGTTGACAATATAAGCCTGAAACACATTTCTCATGTACGGACACAGTCTATGCATCAAAGCTTGAAAATATGATGGTAAGAAATGTCAAAATTGGGAAATAATTTCCACTTTGATTTGCCTTTGATTAAACAGGAGAGGAAAAAAAATACCATAGATAAACAATAAAAAAGACAATATTTGGGAAATAGAGCCTATGATAAAAGATTAAAGAAGTCTGAACTACTTAGTTTGAAGCAGAGAAGAAAGACTAATTAAAGCTTTTAACAATAAAAGGCACTGAAAAGCATAATCACTGGAAGCAAAGCAAAGAGAAAATGGGTAAAATTCCCTGGAAATATACAATTAAATACCAAGATTCTTAAGGACAAATGTAAGGTATTTAAACAGAATAGAAAGAAAGATTCTGATTCACGAATCCTTAGACAGAGGTAACATAACTGCCTTCAGGAGGACAATCGGGTGTGACAGGACCAGTTATGACAACCCAAAAAGGCAGTCTGAGAGAGAACATAATAATAAAAATATAATTTTTATTATATTATAATACAGAACATAATAATAATACATAATAATACAGAAAAGTACTGACAACGACGAGAAGGTAGACATTTGATGTACAAATCTCCTGATGGTCCTGTGAATAGTGGCTATCAGTGAGAAAAGGGAACTGGAAAGGAGAAAGACTAATCAGCAGCTATGAGTAAAAGCCTTGTTCAGTTTCTTTTTGGAAGCAAAACTGTGCAGAGAGGAGCCAACATATTAATTAATGCTTCCAGTAGACTCACTTGGAAGCCAGTGAGTTTGAGATTGGAGCCAGACTCAAGCCAGTCTCAAATCTTGAATGTAAAGTGTAAGTTCCAAACAGAACTGGAGAATAAGGGAAAAAATGGCATTAAGCATTTATCAAATATAATTTTTAAAAAGTAGATACTGCAGGATGAACCAAAACAGTATCCTCTTAAGAATTATCAACTATTCTACACTCAAAAAAGTCACAGAAGTGCTTAGAATGTGCAGTCTGAACATTTTTAGAAGGAATGAACATCGTTAAGGTCAAAGAAAATTGACCAAGTAGCTACTACATGCTAAATCCTGTTAAGTCCTTTAAAAAACATGTCCTCATTGTATGATGTCTGGAATCTGCTTAAATACAATCCAGAAAGAAAACAGGGGAGTTAGGTAGGGGAAAGATAAAATAAGACTGTATCAAATTTGATAAGTGTTAAAAAGTTTAGTGATGAGAATACAGATGTGTGTTATAGTATTTTATTTTTATTTAAATTTTCCATGATTTTTTAAATTATTTACCCTATGTAATGTGAGAGACAGTGGGATGTATTTGTGTGCTTGTGAGTGTATGTGGGTTTACTCTATAGAGAACAGAAAGGACTCCCATATAACTTTCCAAATGGGACAGATGTAGGTCCATCAACTATAAAAACCCTGCACGAAAGAATGACCCATTCGATAACCTGGAAACACTGACAAGAAAATACAATCTCAGAGGAGCAGTAAAAACACAAGGAGTCGGGGGAGCAGAAGACAAATGGCAGGAAAACCTCAAGCAGAGGAAGGAAAGGTATTTTTTTGAGTACTGACTGTGCTGTAAGACTTGATGTTAGGAATTTTACATCATGATCTCATATAATCCTCACAGCAAATTTGTAATGTGGATGCTATTAATATTATCCTCAATTTAAGATAAGGCAATAGGACGTTCTTGGTGGTCCAGTGGTTAAAGACTCTGCACTTATAATACAGGGGGCATGGGTTCAATCCCTGGTCAAGGAATTAAGATCCCATATACTGAATAGCACAGGCAATAAAAACTCACAAAGGTCAACATGCAGATACTAAATGACAGAAATAAGATTGAAAGCCTTTTCTCCAAACTTAGTGTCTCTGCTCTATACCATATTGCTATTTCCCAAGAAGCTACATTGAACATACCACAAAATAAATAACTCTGAGATGCACTGAGTCTGCAGGCCACAACTAAAGATACTATGTGCTGCTGGTTTTGAGTTGGGTCCGAAAAAAAGAGCAAATCCATCGATACAAATCTACTGCTCTAAAAATTCCTTCAGGTTCTCTTATTATGCAGAATGAAGTAAGTCAGAAAGATAAGTATCGTATTCCAACACATATGTACAGAATCTAGAAAAATGGTCCAGAAGAATTTACTTACAGGGCAGCAGTGGAGAAACAGACATAGAGAACAGACCTATGGACACGGGGAGAGGGGAGGAGAGGGTAAGATGTATGGAGTAACATGGAAACTCACAGGACCATGTGTAAAATAGAGAGCCAACGGGAATTTGCTGTGTGGCTCAGGAAACTCAAACAGGGGCTCTGTATCAACCTAGAGGGGTGGGATGGGGAGGGAGGTGGGAGGGAGGTTCAAAAGAGAGAGGATATATGTATACCTATGGCTGATTCCTGTTGAGGTTTGACAGAAAACAACAAAATTCTGTAAAGCAATTATCCTTCAATTAAAAAATAAGTTATTTTAAAAAAGTAAAGAAACATAAGGTTTTAATTAAAAAAATACTTTCTTCAGTTTCCCTTCACTCCCATCATTCCAATTTACACAGGAAGTCTAGGTGTTAAAATTGTTTTGCTTTTGTTTCTGTTTTAGAATTTCAGAATAAAAATCAGCTGAGAAAGAAGGTAAGAATAGCAAAGACAAAGACACACTAATAGCCAAAATATACAGATGGTCTCCAACCTACAATTTTTCAACTTTCAACAGGGCAGAAAAGCAATAGACATTCAAAAGAAACTATACTCTGAAATTTTTTTTATTTTGATCTTCTCCTGGGTGAGTGACAGGAGGTGCGATACTCTCATAACGCTGGGTGCAACAGCCACAGTTTAGTCAGCCGCGTTCGTGATCACGAGAGTGAACGGCCCTTAAGCATACAAACATTCTGTCCCTAGACAACCATCTGGTTTTCCCTCTCTGTACAGTATTCAATAAACTACAAGAGCTATTCAACACTCTATTATAAAACAAGGCTTAGTTTTAGATGATTTTGCCCAACTGCAGGCTAGCATAAGTGTTCTGAGTACATACAAAGCAGGCTAGGCTACTAAGTTATGATGTCCAGCAGGTTAAGTGTATTTAAATGCATTTTCAACTTATGATATTTTTTTAGTTCACGATGGGTTTATCAGGGCATAACCCCATTGTACATCAAGGAAGATCCATATACTACTATCTGTAAAACAGAAATCCAGGTCAAACTAGTTTACCTTTAGCAGGAGAGCAAAATTACTCCGCAGACAATTAGTCACACCATTTTCGTACAATTTTTTCCTCATGTGGTTTTCACTCACGTTCCCACTATCAGACTGATACCTTAATAATGACTTCAGCATGGTTTCAAAAGGGTCCACTGAAACAGACATGATTAAACATTTCTAAGTCAAAGTCATCACTCAAAAAAAAAAAAAAAAAAAACTCCAGCAAAAGAAGAGATCAGAAAGGTATGGGACTATAGCAGAGAGGCCAGGAACTTTTTTTTTCATAACTCCCTTGTCTTTTCTAAATGTGAACAGTTCAAGAGACAATAAAAATTGCCAACAAAACAATAACCAGTAAATTGGGAATTCCACTGTAAACCATTAATACTCAAATAAATTTTCTACTGCATGATAGCATGTATCTCTGTAAAAAAACTCACTCCACCAATTTTAATACAAAATTGATGTTGTAAGTGTAACTGTCAAGAATTAGTTAAAACTATTTAATTGAGTCCAAAACCTTTTCTTTTCTCCTTCGCTCACTTTCATGTGTTTCTTTAATGACTATATTGTTTTCACACACACACAAACAGACTGTCATTTTAAACAATTAAAACAACACAGTAAGATACTAAGAAAATAAATTCATCTAAATCTCACCACACAAGAGATACTCACTATTAAATATTTGAGGGTTGTTTTTTTTTTAACAGCTGTTAACATTTTTTTTTTTACCAGCGAAAGACAGAAAAATCTGTCAGATTTCGCAAAGAACCACAGTCCCTTCTTTCAGAGTACATCTCTCAGTTCACTCTCCTAATCATTCAAATACCATTTACAAGCTCCCAACTCACCATCACTGGACTATAAATTCCACAGGAGCAGAGGCCACATCTGGTTTTACCCATCTTTGTATTTCCTAACAGAGACAGCCTTCCACGTTGTGGAAATTTAGTGATTAAGAGCACAGACTCAGCCCAGACAGCCTCGCTTCATGGCCCAAGCAAGAATACTGGAGTGGGTTGCCACTTCCTACTCCAGGGAATCTTCCTCATCCAGGGATCAAACCCACGTCTCCTGAATTAGCAGGTGGATTCTTTACCACGGAGCCACCTGGGAAGCCCAAATGCTCTTACACCTTTACTCTTTCAGATGTACCCTTGAACTATTTTTTCAGGTTAAAAAAAAAAAATCCTGTTGGCATTTGCACTGGGATTTTTTTCATATATATCTACAAATTGAAGGAAGAAAATGATAATTTAAAAACACTGTGTCTTAAGTGAAGTGAGGTGATTAATATAAAGACTTCAGTACAATGTCTGACATATAAAGTATTTAATAAATGTTAGCTATTCCTAAGAGCAGTGTATGGACCTTCATTTATAGACATCTATTCTTAAAAGATAAGGATCACTAATTAGAAAGAAAATCAGGCTTACGTGTCTTATTGGGGTTGATATGCTGCTTCAGTACATCAACAGTGCCCAAACTAACCACAAGGCGCCTGCCAAACCAGAAAGAGACCACAGGCCCGTATCTCTCATGCAGGTTAACCAGGAACTCGTGCAAACTTCCACTGTTCACAATATCTGGAAGATTACCATCTCTGAAAAAAAAGCAATATTTGACAAAATAATTTAATATGGGAGAATCAGAAAAACAAAAATACTAGTTGATTCTGAATTAACTGTGTCAACAGATGAAAACAAAGATAAACGAAAATCAAATTACTGCAAAATCCAAAACTCTATTATATCTGACTTTTCACTTTCGGTAGCCACATTTACATATGAATTTGTCTGGTATTTTGAGAATTCATAACACTTCACATCAACAAAGCTGCACAAGGAACATCTGACTTAGACACTGGAAAATGATCCAATTTTGCAGCACCTTATTCTGAGACAGCAATGGATACCACCACTGGCTATTAAATCATAGGCGAATTTAAATCAGCTATGGCAATTTTTTCTTATTCCATCTTAATCCTATCTTTCTATTTTCAATACTCTCTGGCTAGGGAAAGTGAAGGAAATTAAAGATTTTGATTTATACAGGCTTCCTTTCATTTACTAACGAAGTTTAGGTGGTATGCCCAAACACAAGTTTAAAGAAAATAAAGGGACTAAATAAACTGAGTAATCTAAAGATATGGTTTAGTTTTTATCCAAAAATTAAGAGCTGACTTTACCTGATTTAAAAAAACCAAAAAGCCAACTCACTTTTCTTCTGTTGGAGTAATGCCTGGAATTCCTGCAGCTTGTCTGGAAGCCTTAGAGAAAAAAATTTAATAATTTAGTATAATGAATGATCATATATCCCATAAGTCAGATGTGTTTTGCCAAGATATGTGCAGGATCTTAAATGATGGTTATTCAATTTGGTTGAATTTCAGAGATTATTTCTATATTAAAATACAAAAACTGGATTCTTTGTACTGAAAAGAATTATCCTAATATTCCTCCTCTCTGTCAATTAAACTAAGGTGTCTGAAGAATTTAACATCCATTATATATCAATTAATATACAAAATCAAGTACATTTTTCTTTGCTCCGAGACTGTAAATGGTCTTGTCTGGCTAGGCTTTCAAAAAATTTAATGTCATAATTATAATAGTATCATTCTTAAAATAGTTCTCCTCTTTCAAGTCAAAGAATTTGTCAAAATACAAAGTGATATTCATCTCTTGGGGCTTCCCAGGTCAGCATAGTGGTAAGGAATCCACCGGGCTTCCCTTGTGGCTCAGCTGGTAAAGGATCCGCCTGTAATTCAGGAGACCTGGGTTCAATCCCTGGGTTGGGAAGATCCCCTGGAGAAGGGAAAGACTACCCACTCTAGTACTCTGGCCTGGAGAATTCCATGGCCTGTATAGTCCATGAGGTCGCAAAGAGTCAGACACGACTGAGTGACTCTCTCTTTCAAGGAATCCACCTGCCAACGCAGGAGACATGGGAGATTCAGGTTTGACTCCTGAGTTGGGAAGATCCCCTAGAGTAGGAAATAGCAACCCACTACAGTACTCTTGCCTGGAAGATTCCATGGACAGAGGGGACTGGCAGGCTACAGTCCATGGGGTCACAAAGAGTGGGACATGACTGCACAAGTGAGCACACACACACATTCATCTTTTGCTTTAATGTAGTTATCATTACCGGGGTTACACAGAGAGATCACCTGGTATACAAATAAACAACAAAACAATTTATAGCAAATTGTTAAAGTGACAACCTCTGAAGAATGAACTATAAAAAACTTGGGGGGTATTCTAATTTTTTACAATTTTGTACTGGGTTTATGGTTACTGTATTTAGAGGTTAGTGTTTTTTTTTTTTTACAACAAGCATATCACTTTTAAAATAAGACTTCTTATAATTTTTAAATTAGCAAAATATCTACAGAAAAAATAATCTAAAATATTCAAGTTTAGAATCAATTCTGAATTTTGTCTATGATTTTAACTAGCTATTAATCAGAGTTTAGCATTCTGCCCCCTTTCCCCCCTACTTAACATTATATAAATAAATATTTATTTGAACATTTAAAGTTTAAACTGCCTTCCATTACATATTCAGAATTGCATAATCATGTTCCTACCATAGGCTGTAAAACATCTAGGCTATTTCTTTCATTTTCTCATTGTTACAGGTAGTGCCATGAAAATCACTGTACAACTTTACTTTTTTCCTCCTTTGGATTATGTATGCCAAAGGTATACTAAGTTCAACAGTACTAATGAAGGAGTTTTACAGTTTCTACCACATACTACAAGAATACTATCTAGACAATAGTATGTGCAACCTGCATTGAACTGATGACAATGAAACCCACAATGTAAGATTTTGTCCTACAGTCTCATCAACAATGGAAACTTGTCAAGTTTAATATATAAAAAGTGGGGGAAAGAATGGAAGGAACTCCGTAATTAAACTCAGTGATACTAAAAAAGGAAAAAAAAATATTTGTTATTTTCTAGGTTGAAATTATTAATGACTGAAGTAAGCTTCCTGACTTCTCTTCAAACATGGTAGACTGACAACACTCATCATCAGTGATCCCTTCCTGAAATCCCACAAAATGAAAGTGAAGAAATAAAAAAAGGACAAAATAAGGATAAAGAGAATGGGAGAGGAGGCAACAGTGGATGAATAATCTGACCAGTTTTCTTGGAAGTGTTAAGCTGCTGGAGCACTGATTAGTTGACCTTGAGAGGCCACCTCTGGGGTCTGCAAAGGAGGATTCCCACAGGAGGCAATCAGATTTGTACTTGTAACCAGAAAGGTGGAGTAAGATGCAAGACTTTAACAATAAGCAAAAAGTCAGTATACAGATCCATCAGACAGCATTCTTGTGACTGCCATCCTTCTGGAAAGAGACCTTGAGATTCCAGATTCAGAAACAACAGGTTGGTGGGTGGCATCCCTGATAATTTTAAGGGAAAACTGTTTCCAACCTAGAATTTTATACCATGCCAAGCTATCATTCAAGTGTGAAGCTAGAAAAGATAGATTTTCACACAAGCAAAATTTCAAAAAATTTTTCATGCACACTCCCTCAAGAAATCATGGAAAATGAAATTTAAAAAAAAGAAATCATGGAAAATGATGCACTGCATCAAATAAAAGAATTTAAACAGAAAGAGACAGAGACTCATGTGGCACCCAGGAAATAGGGTATACAAATAGGCAAAAGAGTATCAATTCTGATTTTTTTTCCCATAAAAATAAATACAAGCAGAGACATTACTTTACAACAAAGATCTGTCTACTCAAAGCTATGATTTTTCCAGTAGTCATGTATGGATGTGAGAGTTGGACTATAAAGAAAGCTGAGCACCAAAAAATTGATGCTTTTGAACTGTGGTATTGGAGAAGGCTCTTGAGAGTCCCTTGGACTGCAAGGAGATCCAACCAGTCTATGCTAAAGGAAATCAGTCCTGAATATTCATTGGAAGGACTGATGCTGAAGCTGAAACTCCAATCCTTTGGCCACCTGATGCAAAGAAGTGACTCATTGGAAAAGACCCTGATGCTGGGAAAAACTGAAGGCAGGAGGAGAAGGGAAAAACAGAGGATAAGATGGTTGGATGGCATCACTGATGCGATGGACGTGAGTTTGAGTAAACTCCGGGAGTTGGTGATGGACAGGGAAGCCTGGTGTGCTGCAGTCCACGGGGTCACAGAGTTGCACATGACCAAGTGACTGAACTGAACTGATGTCTTCTAATATCTGAACGAGCTCACTGAATAGCATTCTGACAGAGATGCTGAGATATTTGCCCCAAGCTACTGACAGGCCTAAGTAAAGAACCTCTATGCAAGAACGAAGTACAACCGATCCCCTCCGCCCTAATCACGGTCTACAGCTCCCAAGGCAGGCATGCAGAGGGAGCCTCAGAACGCTCTAGATAAATGGCTCCCACACCACACTCCATGTTTCAACCTGAGAAATGAAGCGTGAGCCCCAAAAGACCAGGCAAAACTCCCCTGTGCTTCAGGACATTCACAACTCTGAAATAGCTAAAATAATGAGATCAGTCCCGACCTCTGGCACACCCCTCACAGCACCCAGCAAAACTTCAATCTCCCTGATAATTACAGCCTCACCACTATCATCTGCCTTGAGACCATCCAGAATGTTATGATGACATTTTCCCTTACATACCTTAGACATCACACTAAGCCCAGGATTACCATCCCCAGGTCTTCCTTCATCTCCCAGACTTTTTATTCCTACAGAAGTCTGCTTCTTTCCTGACCCATCTGTCCCCAACCCAAAACCCCACCTGATCTCAGCCGTGCATTCCTATGGTTGCACTGCTGCTGCTAAGTCGCTTCAGCCGTGTCCGACTCTGTGCGACCCCATAGACGGCAGCCCACCAGGCTCCCCCGTCCTGGGATTCTCTAGGCAAGAACACTGGAGTGGGTTGCCATTTCCCTCTCCAATGCGTGAAAGTGAAAAGTAAAAGTGAAGTCGCTAGTCGTGTTCGACTCTCAGCGACCCCATGGACTGCAGCCTACCAGGCTCCTCGGTCCATGGGATTTTCCAGGCAAGAGTACTGGAGTGGGGTGCCATTGCCTTCTCCGATGGTTGCACTAGGCCTTGGCATTACCAGTAACTTTACCGTTCCTGGAGTCTTGATATCAAGCTTCCAAATTTCCAAGCACCTCCTATTTCTCCTTCTATTTTTAATATCTTGACTCCAAAAACTATTTTTACCCCAAACAGACTGTTAACCCACTTACTCCTATACTCATTTTCCAGCCATCCAGCTCTGATTCCATTGTCCGTTTTAATAACTCCCTTGCCCTGTATCCTTTTCTCAAAAGTTTAGCAAAACACGAATCCTAATTAAACCCAATATTCTGTTAACTGCCCTGATGCCACATAGCTGAAGGAAAACAGCTGAGGAAAAACACAGCCATGCTGCCTAGTCTTATTTTACTTTTATGAATCTCAAGTGAGATGCCTGGAAATCTCATTTCCCTACTCCCTCACTCTCCTGACCTTCTAGGCGGCTATTTCTCAGAAAACAAAGACACACCGCAAGTTCCAGATTGGGTAGCTCTAACATTCCAATCAAATTCATTTACCAGCAAGACTATTTAAGGTGTTCTGTCAGTATCAGCGATGTGTTCGGCATTATTCTGTTGCTTTACAACTTTTCCTACAAAACCACTACCTTGCTTTGTAGATGATTCCTCATCCATTAGCTTCTTTGTTTTCAGAAGCATCTTTTGAGGCTGAAGAAGGTAAGCAGAGAAGGTTGAGAAGGAGATTCAGAGATACAGCACTTGGCTGTATGCTCCTTCCACGACCCCTTTAGCACGTGAGGCCCAAGAGGAACAAGACCCGGTCCGGCCCTTAAGAACTTTAGATTTCAGGAATGAGAGTCGAAAGACAGACGGAAAAGCAGGCGACAAAAGAAACACTGGGGGAGAATCCTTGGGAATGGATAAAGGCGACGAGCAGGCTGCAGTCTCCTCTCAGACACACTAGAAAATGGAAGTGGGGTGGGCACAGTTGCTGCCTGAAAGCCACCGAAGCGCTGCGGACCCGCCCTGCATAGCGCCGCGGCGAGGACAGGGAGGCCGGGCCCGCGAAGCAGCCCTCAAGGCCCCGCGGCCACGCCCGCTCCGCCGAGCCTCCGTCCGGGCTGCTCGCGGCGTCCGAGGGTGGTCGAGCCTCCCGCCCCGCTCAGCCTTCAGCGCCGGCCGCGCGCGCCCGCGAGGCGTCACATGCTCCGGGCGCGGGACAGAGCGAGAGCGGGAGCGGGAGCTGGCGCCCTCCCCCGGGGCCCGTGCCCTGCGGCCCGCCGCGGGCGGCGCGACGTGGATTCGGGCGGCGGCCGGAGCCCGTGAGGGCCGGGACGGTGGTTACCGGGTACAGGTAGAGCACCGCTCCCACCAACGCCAGCAGGAAGGTAACAGCGAAGATCGCGAAGTCCAACATGGTGCCTCCGCCCGGGAACCACGTCCCAGTTCCGCGCCCCGCTGCAGCGTCTCAGCCTGGCGGGACCCAAGGGACAGAGGGGCCGGCCGGGCGCCCGCGGGACTTGCGAGCAAATAGGTCGCCCGGGCGTGGCCTGGGCCGCTGGGGGCGTGGCCTGGGCCGCTGGGGGGCGTGCCGTGGTCAGCCCTGCGGTCGGGCGCCGAGAAACAGGGAGACCCGAGGCGGGGTTCCGGCGGATTCGACTCCGAACACGCCCACGACTCCCGTACCCAGTTGCTGGAGAAAGGGGGACCCCGCCTTCTAGAAAACGTTAGGAGTTATCGTCCTAACCAAGTGTTTTCCAAGTGGGTTTAAAATACATATAACAAAAATAGCTCAAGTTAATCATTGTTGTGGCACGTCTGGATGTGCTACCACAGTCTAGTGATTTTTGAATCAAATATATGGACACATAATTCACAATATTATGTATTTATTTCATGAAATATGTGTCTTCCCTTTATTTCATCATGATCTCTATATTTTTATGATCAAGATTTTAACATCATTTGTCTTCTGTTGGCAGAAATGCCAAATTATCCTGTTCCCAGTCATTGTGGTCCTTGAAAAGATTTATTTGATAGATTATTTTAAAACAATCTTTTCAGTTTTATTGAGTCATATAATTAATATTTGGGATAGTTTTCTTTAATACTTTCAAATTGAAGAAATTCTGCTCTGTTAGCAAAATTCCAGGCAGTAGCAACTGGAATTATCAATAAAAATTTATAGTTAATATTTAGCTTCAGAAATGAACTGACTTTTATCTATGGTGTTCAACTGTAATGGAGTTGTTACATATGGTACCATTGTTAGTACAGCAAATATTGTAAAACAGTTTAAATTTATGGTAACAATTCTATCACTTATGATTCTCACCATCTCTTAAAGCAACAACTAAATCTGTAGTGTAGTGTAAAGAATTGGTATCACACTTTACATCATATCTAGACCTATATATATATAATTTTAAAAGGAATTTAATATGGAAAAGTGTTCCTAAGCTGACAGTTGCAGCCACCATGTTTGCCACAATAATTGTCAAGTACTTCCAGTCCATTAATGGAACCCTAAATTTTTTAATTAGGCAAAAATCTATTGTGTTTATTCTGAGAACCAAGATTGCTAATTTATCTATTTTTATCGACTTGCTCAATTACTTCTTCTACTGTTATAGTCTCCTCCAACTTTAAAGCATAACCTACAAACCCTTACAGCACTTAGATGCAGTCCCATTTTATTTAAAAGATACAGAACATGAGCTATGAAGTATTTCCCTGGAGCCTGAGCAGTGTTAGCTATGAGGGTGGATATTAAAAGTTCAGTTGACCACAAAATCCTGATTAACCACTAAATCCTGACTGAATGCCAAATACTGATTTGCCCATGTGGGCATAAAAATTTGACCATTTTTATGGATTTGTGATATGTGGGTTTCTCTCAAGCTTGGGGCCCAGGGCAGGGGCCTGTCTTGCTCTGTCTTGCTCTATACATATAAAAGGACATTCAGTGGGTTTCCTAGCCTTCTGACTTCTGGTTAGATTGGCCAATAGGAAATAGTAGCTTAGGATGAAAGGAAAGTCTGGATATTCACTCTCCTGGTTTTCATGCTGTGGACTCACCGCTGAGTGCAGCCTCTGTCATAAGGCCCCCACACAGATACCCTTTCTAGGAGCTGGAACTCTTGTCACTTCAGGCTTAGGGTTAATGACAGCTCACCACTGTTGCTAGTCTTGGGGCACTGAAACCCTGTGGTTTCCTTAAACCCTTCCCACATCTTCATAGAAGTTTCCATTCTTGAACTCTTTTACCTACCAATTTCAGCATGCCATCTGTTTCCTGCTGGGACTCTGATCCCTGTGGTAATTATCATCATCAAACTTGCCTATTTGGTGGGTGCAAAATTTTTTTCTTAATTCTAATGAATAAGGGTGACCAGATACAGTTTGCCTTTACCTGGGAGAGACCCTATTACACCTTCAGTGTAATACTCCGGGGCACTGTCATTTCTCCTCTGTGATGTGAGCACATATACCTCTAACTTGTTTGTAATGGTATTCCACACAGTATCTTGCCTGTCCATTACTCTGATGACATACTATTGAGACCTGGTGAGCATAAAGCAGAAATTCCCTAGATGCCTTAAAAAAAATACATGTCAGGAAGTCAAAGAGAAATCTCAAAAATTATTTAGGAGTCTGGCATAGTGATAAAGTGCCTACAGGTTGACTGGCATGGGGTACTTGTATATTGTAACAGCAGTCTGAGATGGAGTTTAAAATGTCGGGTATTTAGTGGGGATTAATACATGTGAAGGATGAAACCTGGATTGGGCAGAGATGAAGTGGAATTATGATGCAGCCCCCCTAACTCCTAAACCAACCTAGTGGGGAGTTTGGGATGAGAATTACAACAATGATTGGGCTTTGCTGGGCCTTTTTTCTATGCACCCACCTTACTCTCTTCCTGAGAAAAAACTTGGAAGTTAGCCTCTGCAGTTTTTCTGAGGGCCACAATTGATACTTACAATCTTCTTACTCCTCTATCCATGCTAGAATCTCTACTCACCAAGTCTTGAGGCTTGCTTGGTTAGCCTGGAAGAATGAATGATTCTGAACTGCCTGAGTCCCTAGTGATCAAGTACTTCTCAGACTATGGTTTCTCTATCTACAGACACATTTGGGCAAAGAAGTCCAAAGTAGTGCCCAAGGAGATCGCCTGGGTTCTACACTGTTACATATTCTGTTATGTAGTGGCAGCTGTTCCTCTCCCTAATTGTCCAGGTCAATTACCCCTCACATCAGCTACCTGTTCTGATGCTTTATCAGCATGGCAGCTTGTGGGTGATGGATATGATATGACTAGTGATCCCGTTGTCATGGGCTCCCTCCAGCACTTATTTCCTGTAAAGTGGGTCCTGTGATCTAAAGTCATGTTATGTAGAATCCACTGCCAATGAATCAAATACTCCACTGTCCTTAAGATAGTAGTGCGGGCTAAGGCCCTGCAGACATAAAAGGCAAACCATGTACATAAAATACATGCCTATTCCTATGAGCTTCTAGCCCTTCCAGAATGGAAGGGGCCCAAAATACATAGCTTGCCAGCATGTGGCCCATTGAGGAATGAGGAGTGTTTGGGCACTAAGCATTTATCTTCATTGTTAGTAATATGGACATTCATTGGTGGCAGTAGCTAGACCAGCCTTGAGAAGTGGAGGGTTCATCCTGTTAAGCCATGGATATGATAACCCATGGATAGTCTCCATTTCTGCCATTGTGGCCACTTTGTTCACGTACCTCCCCACTGTACCGGCCCTAGAGTGGCCAATACAGGGGCCACCTCACCTGACCTGAATTGCTTGTGTGGTCCACTTGATTGCTTAATGCCTCTTTCATGGTGGATGCTCCTGATGAGTGCTAATATTTGACTCAAAAGACTTTCATGCTTCTTTCCTAATCCCATATGTCCATCTACACACTTGTATCTGACACCTTCGTGTCCCCAATGTTAAAAATCTTTTTCCATTTATGCCTCTCATCAGCTGGCCAGGCCTTTCATCATGGCCCATGATTCCCATCTGTATTCTCACCTTGGGCCCCTTCTCTTTCCACCCAAAGTAAATGACATGATGTACCACTAAAGATCTGCCCACCAAGATGGTTTTCTCTTGCCATCGTTTAAGACCAGCCATTAAGTAAGGCTTCGACTCACCTATCCATTTTTGTCTTTACTCACATACTGAGCCATCCCCTCTGTAAATGCAGCTTGGTCTTTTTTCTCTTCTTCTTATCTACTCATACATGACGACTTGTAAACCAATGTGTTAGCTGAGGAGGGGGCACTGGTGCAACAGTGGTGGAGACTGGAGATCTGGGATCCTTGCTCAGGCAGCTTCCCTCTTCCCTATGGTCCTTAAGACATGGTTGTCTGACAAGACTTAGTGGATGATAGGTAGTGTTGGGAAACAGTCTGTTTAGAGCAAGGTATAAACTGCCATTCTGTTCTGGACATGTCTTTTCAAGGACATCTGTACAGCAAACCACCTTGGAAGGCAGAGACAGTCTCCTCCTGGAATAGAAGGCAAGTTTGCTTACTCATCAGAATGTTTCCCTCCAGGGCAAAGGTCAGGAAGGTTTGTTTGCAGCCCATTATTAAAGATTCAGCTTTCCAAAACAAATTCTTCAGCTGTGGCAGAAGACCGTGAAATGCATTCTTTTAGGTTCATCTGTAAGTTGATAGTTATGGGCTTTGCATTTAGGTCTATAATTTGCTAAGTTCAAATAGTTTAGCTAATGTTAAGTTCTAATCAGACTATATAAATTGAGAATTACAAATGAGCTGAAGAAAGTAACATCACTTTTTTATTTGATTCAAACCCATTTTCATATACAAAGCTAATTTATTATTTACAAAATAAATGCATATTCTTAAAAACTGTTAGAATACAAATTTCCAAATGACTAAAAAATGTGCAAATTTTTCAATTATCTTCAATCATGCTATACAGAAACAAACATTAGCTCATATACACACAATGAAAAATTTTAAAACATTCAATGTAACAAAACAAAACATACATCTTATATATTTAATTTTAAAAGGATGAGAAAGGGAAGAATGTATTGCACCAAATTAACAGTAACTTCATTATAATAATACTAATAAAAATAATTTACACATCTTTATTAAGTCTAAAACTATCTCAACTTTAAAACCTTTTTTTTTTTTGGCATACAAGTATTCATTGAGTCACAGTCTGCACAGTCAATAATTAGATATAAATAAGGCTTAATATTCTCTTTTTAATGGTCAATTCCAGTAGAACAAATGAGAAGGAACACTTTATGATAAATAGTTAACTTTTTGAATTCCTTAAATATTTAAGTAGCAGCACAATTTGCAAGTACTCTTTTAAACAAGTAATTCCGAATTTTTAGCTATCCTCCTCTGAATTGACTATGTGCATATATATATATATGTGTATATATATGTATACACACACACACATTCAAATCACTGTCACCTCTATGATAACACTGAAATACTCCTATTTAATCTGGGTCCCAGAAAGATTCACG